CTTAACACAAAGGGATGGTTCATGAATGATTGATGAAGCAGCTGGTGCCATTGGCTGATTATCAACACCTGCCATGGCTCTTGTCTTCCAACCATTATATTAACTTCATTTACAATCTGAATTTTACTGAATCGAGTATTACTTTCATCAGTAATAATCATAATGGTAAGCTTATTATTGTTTTGAATAACTTGTTTTTAGTATAAAGATGAATTATTGCAGTTTAATTAATACTTGAATACTTTTCTTTGAAATGGCAACCATACAAAGTAGGTATTTTAAGCCAAGTATGAATGGAGATGAGTGTAGGATGAGTGGCGCGATCTTGTAGTCTTGTTAGTGACTAAGGCCGACATATTCCTTAGACACAGCTGTTAATTAATAGCCCATACAGCTAATGGCAAATAAGGGACCTACAGTTTATAGTGAAAATTTAGTGTAACCAGTTATGTGTGTTAAGTGGTAAGACAATTATGGAGGAATGTGCCAATCTAATATTGTGGTTAACTGGGGTTTCAGAATTGTATTTTAACTTAGCAAACTCCATTCAACCCCAACATAAGATAAACTGACTATTACATCTTTGGTTCTTTCCCTTTTTGTTTCTAAATTGCATACTTTGATGGTATGACAAATTCTAAAAGTTTCTTTGATTATGCATTTGTTCCACATGAATTCAACATCATTACTACTTCTCAGAGCGATTCTGTTTTATTATGTGGAGGATTTCCATTATTATTTGCAATATTTTGTTTGCTTTGGATCATGAGTTAATTGTAATATCTCTTACATTAAAACAGCCCAGCAACACTGTCAAAGCCATTCAGTAGTGTGGGTATATGTTAGTTGTTATGCATGATGATGAGTTTGCCAAGCCCTGATTAGTGTTCAGCTCAGGTATGCATATTAGACATGTCCACAGCCAATGTGAATCGTGAATGCACACAATATGCATAGCTTGTATGCCTCCAATATATCAATACATTGCTTGTACATACATTCAGACATATATCACATAGATTCTGATTTAGTATGTAGTACTAGCAAACCCGTTGTTGCTTCGCTCACAAAAATTTAAATAAAAAAAGTTTAAAAGCCATTCGGGCAGAGCCCTGATGCAATTTCTTGAAAACACTTAAGTTATTATTGCACACCTAGAGGTTGATTGGAACCTCCATGTCAATTCCTGAGTTTTATGGCTTGTAGTTTTTGAGATATAGTGATCAGTGAGTCGGTGGTATTTGACTTTTTTAAGTATAAGAAGATTAACATATTGCAGTAAATGATTAAGGGGCTGTTCATTGCTACTGATTACTAAGGACTCATTCAAGTATGACTTACACATTCAGCTTATTTGTTTTTTCCAAATATTGTACAGTATTAATATTCACACAGTTAATAGAGTATATTAGATTGTGTCATTATAAGGGTTTAAAATGGAGATAACATTTATCTCTGTTAATGGGACAAAGGAATTCTTTTTGAGTTTCACTTCTGATTAGGCATTTTGCAATCTTTACTTATCCTTAATGAGTATGTTTCCGCTGACAACTTTTATACATTATAACGAATATGATTATTGTCTTAAAGCAGTGAAGGAAATATAAAAAAAGGTAGAACTAAATCAAAAATGGATTGGGCTTTGATCAAAGCAATATAAAAACATAGCTCTTTATAAAAACACCAGTCTTGTAAAAGCCATAAATCTAGAGATAATTTGCCTTCCTCTGATACCTGGAAGCCACAGCCTGTGTTTAATGCAGTATTGCATGTCTATACACAATTTGGCTCAATCATTTACAATTTTAAAAATAACATCAATATTATCTCCGTTGTAGGCTGCTATTGGTCATTATTTGCCCCTCTACCATTAGACCATTACAAGTTGTGTTTGTACATTATGTACACAATGTGTTCTTAAAGATTGTGTAGTATTTTCAAAGGATATTAGAGATATTTTCCAAAAGTCATGGCTTCTTAGTAGAATTAGTAGATACCTATTTACAATTGATTGTAGGCTGTCATCCATTGATTTTGCTTAAAAAAAGAACTGATATTGTTCATTCAATTTTTTTATTTTTACAGTTTTTTAAGAGTATATTTTTTGGTGGTTGGTAAACATTTTTTCATGTTTTTTTTTTGTATATTCAAAAAGTGTGAGTCTATGTGGTGGGAATTAATATAACTGTTTCCGGCATGTGAAATATTTATGAGTAAATTTAAACTTTTAAAAACTGCAGATTGTTATTTAGAAGTTTAACCATTTCACATATGTACGGGCTCCTGACAGCTAAAATACCTAATCTTATGAACAGAGGTCTACAGCCTTTTTTGTTTGAAACTTTAACAATGTCTTTATATACATTCTTATACATACAGGGTGGTAAAAAAGTCCCTGGACAGTTAAATATTTTAAAAAATAATGAAGATAGAGCTACAATACTTGGTACAAAGTTACAGGGCATAAAACTCTATTTTAACACATATTCAGTGATCCAATAACTCTTCAGGGGGACGGCCCACAAGGAGTCGGAAGAAAATCTTAAATGGAAGCATAGGTCAATATGCACATCAAATTAAAGGTCATTTTTAATAGAATACAATGCCGCAAACCGCACTTCAAAAGGTTGATCCAGCGCAAAATGGCAGATGTTCAAAGATTCATTTAATTAACATTGCTATTATACGCTTTCTCCTCAGGGGGCACAGCCCTAGGAATCGGAAGAAAATTGTTAACGTAAAAATAGGTCGATATGCACATAAAATTAAAGGTCTTCACTTGTAGATTACAATGCCGTAAATTCAAGCTCAAAAAAATGCCTGAGTAAAAAATGGCAGTCGTTCAAAGATTCAAAATGGCGGATTCAAGAAATCTTTGAACATCTGCCATTTTGCGCAGGATCAACCTTTTGAAGTGCGGTTTGCGGCATTGTATTTTACTAAAAAAGACCTTTACTTTGATGTGCATATTGACCTATGCTTCCATTTAAGATTTTCTTCCAACTCCTTGTGGGCCGTCCTCCTGAAGAGTTATTGGATCACTGAATATGTGTTAAAATAGAGTTTTATGCCCTGTAACTTTGTACCAAGTATTGTAGCTCTATCTTCATTATTTTTTAAAATATTTAACTGTCCAGGGACTTTTTTACCACCCTGTATATATGATTCTTTATTTAAAAAACAAACTATGTGATAAACAATTTTTTTAATCTAGCACTTAATAATTTGAAATCATTTTCACCATTCAACTTAATTTAGTGATGTAGAATATAAAATATAATAATAATCCTAAGGAAATATAAACATTAAATAAAGGAAGATAGGGTTCTTAGTACAAAACATTTTGTGTAACAAAAACCGCTTGGTTTCTTGCAATTTGATACAATGAGATCCTTTGAAGAAACAAGGAAAATGTCTTATTTAATTAAATGTAACAACAAGTTATCTTTGTTAAGGATCGCCACTAAGTCTAAAATTGAATGTTTATTTTGCAGTTTTCTTTGCTTTGAAATGTTATTCAAAACTCTGTGCTTAATGTAATATTTTATTTATTAGCTTAGATTGGTAATTTTATTCTTATAATATAAAATAAGTACTTTCATTATTTTTTTCATTTTGTACTTTTATAAACTCCAAATGCAGTAGCACGAGGGCTAATTATGACACCATGATGTTATGCAAGTACCATATCAATCAGTGTTTGCCAGTCAGTACTTGTTGTCCTAAACTGATAATTTTATCTTAACAGGAAAGGAAGCAATGGTCTGTGATAGTGACCATGTCTAATATTTACGTAATGGAAATAAACTCCATGCTCTTATCATTTTAAATTTTTTGTCAGTTTCAATTAATTTGTTGAGTATTTTTTATACCTTAAATAGACTAATGAAGTATCTTCTCAGCTTTCACTCTGTATACAAGCATTGAATGTCGGGGAACATGTTACTTAGATGTCATTTCTTATCAAGCCTTCATGCGCTTATCCAATCAAGTGCACAACTTTGATTAGAGTGAAACACTTGGTATCAGTATGTGATATTTTGTGAATCCAATGAATAGAATTAAATTGACTAAATAAGGATTTTACATAGTGCTTTATCAAACTTTGGCTTTTAAAGTTGAAAAACAAGGGAACAACCAACTTGTAGACAAGATGGTGTTTGTAAATGCACAGCTAAGTTTTTTGGAAACAATTTAATTTTATCTCAAAAGCTTTGTTAACAATTTTGAAACAACAATTTAATTTATAATAGCCGAAAGCCTAGAGTATCACAAGTAATGTCCACTGGTTTATCTAGCTGGAGAATGCAGTAGTTTTGTTGATCACTCAAACCAAAATTTGTAATTGTACCAGATTTTCCGTCCTGGCTCTGACTCGTATTTGTAGTGAATGGCTCGACTTTTCTCAAGCCATAATCATATGTAACATTATCCATCTTTCCATGTCCGATGAACATACAAATATATATTATATCAAGCAGCTCTGGTGACCAATCACAAAACCAATTTTCAAAATAGTTTGTTCACTACAGTTTATCAGCCACAAACACAAAGCTTCATTGATAGTCTACCCCTCTCTGTAATGCACAATCTACAGAGTAATCAGTTCCTCTGTTCACAAGTGTACACTAAGTTGGCAAGTCTGAAGTCCAACTGGAGAGACCTGGTTGGGTTTTCTCTTCAGTGCAATGCTGATACAGATTGTTCACTGATTGACTTGACTTGCAGTTATCTCCTCTGGGTGCATAGGGCATTCAGAAGAGCTCTCCATCAACAGATTTGTCACAGCCTCAACACGAATTGTCATTTTAACAATTCAATAAACTGGGAAAAACATAAGTGTTTACACTGAAAAAAAAAAAAACATTTTCAATGTGAAACTGGGGAATGCAATATTGAAAATTTTTACATGTTGTTCATGTGTGATAAAAAAGATAATTTCAGAATACATTTATATTGAGCCTCAAAATAATTATGTACTAACAATGTTTCTTTTACAGGTTATGGCTGTACACAATAACATTCGGTTCATCCATATAGGCTGTGATGAAGTTTTCCAAATGGGTGAATGTTCTCGCTGTCGCACCCAGACTCGTGACAATCTGTTCCTGACGCACGTGACAAAGGTCGCACGCTACGTGAGGTCCAAGTACACCAATGTCGTGCCTCTGGTGTGGGACGATATGTTACGTCACCTGCCTCCCATCAGCATGGAACAGTCCAAGATAGGCGAACTTGTAGAACCAATGGTAAGCACAATCAAAACTGTTAGTAGGTTACATCAAATGATTATGCTGGTGCCAACAATACAGGTGTGTCCTAGCATAATGGTTTTGGGGCCCCTCTTTAAGTTATATTTTTAAAGGAAATACCTTTTTGAGAGTAAATTGTGTATTACATGATCTCATCATTTAGAAGGTATAGTGTTAACTTGAACTTGAAGCTTCGTTTGTTTATGTATTTTGGTCTCTCTCATCTCTGCTTGGCTGTTGGGCAGCTTTTCACACTCAGAATCTAGAATAGTTGCCACACTCATAATAGTTTTCTTACATTTGTTTTTGCACTTAAGTTCTACAGACATTGTTTATAACTGATCATAATAATTAAAAGAATTATTACACTTTTTGCTTTTTTTAGTCATATTTTTAGTCAAAGAGCAACAATAACAGTAATTATCATAAAATGGTCTGTATTACCTCTCCGCCAATGATCCTATTGTCGTCTTAGGTGACTGGTTTCGGGATTAAAATCCCTTCATCAGGCGGTTAAAATGTCATATCACTCAAATTGAGGTCTTCGGTAATCACAAAAACACACACATAAAACACGAAACACAATTTGAGTGATATGACATTATAACCGCCTGATGATGGGATTTTAATCCCAAACAGGTCGCCTAAGACGATAATAGGGTCATTGATGGACAGGTAATATAAACAATTTTATTCAACAAGTGATCCTGGGACACTAATCATAACCAATTATCAGCATGTATACCCATTTCAAAATAGGAACTATTTTCTTTTACAAAATCTGGTAATAATTGCAAGTTATTCATATTTTTGATTTGCTCGGCTTGGGGGCCATCATGTGCCAGGAAGTCTGCAGAGGCCACAAAACCCACAAAACACAACATTTGTTCCCAATACTAGCTAGTATACCATGTAAATATCTCTCTCACCACTGCATTTCTCACCATCAAAGATGTGTTTCTTGATGTATTTTCTAGAACGAACATTAACGTATAGATCAATACCTCACCGATCACATAAAATATAAGTGTAGATTGTAGAGGATTTACCTTAATTTTCTATGATTAGCTGTGCTGTGCATTACTGTCATTCTTAACCACTCCCCTCCGATCTGACACTGTTTTAAACAAAAGAAAACTCAAACTTATTGTAGGTACTTACTTTGGGTAAAACTTCCAAAAATTGAATACATAAAAGTAAAACACCCTTAATAAATTCATAACATATTTCTAATTCCTTGACTTAACTTGACATGATATACCTTGCCCCTTGTACAGGTGTGGGTGTACGCAGAGGATGTGTACAGGTTCGTCCCGACCAGTGTGTGGGAGAAGTACGCAGCAATGTTCCCACGGGTCTGGGCCGCAAGTGCATTCAAGGGAGCGTTTGGAGAGACATTGTATGTTCCCAATGTAAAACGTCACTTGGAGAACAACCTGCGATGGCTGCAAGTAATGGCTGCGGAGGGACCAAAGTTTAAGGGGGGATTCCAAGGGATTGCCGTCACCGGCTGGCAGAGGTATTTTTTCTGTTTCATTAGCCTTGGGCTTAAGATATTTTGTTTTATTGGTATTCATCAAATATTTACAGAGAGGAGCAAGCTTAGATTGCAGGCCTTTGGTCCCCGGAGTCCAGGGCTCAAATCCCCCAATCACCAATCTATGTGAAAATGCTGCAACCCTTCAGGCCTAGCTTGAAGAAATCTGTAAAACAGGTCTTGTATTGAGCTAAGATATAAAGAAGGGTGCTGGTTTTGTATTTAGTTTTTTTATACTGATTTATCAGCATTGTTAGTTAGGTATTCTATTTTCTTGCCAAACCAAGATATAAATTAAGTCCTTTGGTCGGGCTTTATCCTTTCCACAATAATAGAATACTATACACAATTTATGGCAACAGTTTCTTAAATTATTTTTAACAAATTGATTATTATTAATTGTTATTGACATTCAATAACCTATAGATTTTTTAACTTTTGTTATCTGCGCAGGTATGACCACTTTGCCGTGCTGTGTGAGCTGATGCCCTCAGCTGTGCCGTCCCTGGCTGTGAATCTGTTGGCTACCAGTCACGGCTACTTCAACCAAAGTCTCCGGGCCAGACTGAGCTCTGGGCTGAGTTGTGGAGTCTTTGGTCCGCAACCTCAGCAGGACCGAGGTGTCTTTCTCAACCTCAACAACGACCCCTTCCTCTGGGACCAGTTCTCACGCTGTGCTTTCCCCGGACACAGCTTCTTCAAGCTGCTCTACAGGCTTAATGGTCTGGAGCGTGAAGTCAACGAACTTTATGTTTCGGTGAGTTTTGAGTGATGTGGATATCCCTGACAATACACTGCTCCTGTAGAATTTTCTGGAATAATTTACTTTATGAATGTGTATTTGCTTTTTATTGATGTTTACTTGTTTTATTTGTGCACAGGTGAGACAGAGCAAGGGTTGGATGACTGCTTACAACGTGAGGACCAACTTCACCAGTCCTCTAAGGATAGACGAGTTGTTGGCAGACCAGCCGAGACTGTACCACTCTCTCACCACCCTGATCCGCTCAGTCAAGGATGCGCTGTCGGAGGTGTACGACGCCTACACAGTCGCTGAGTGGATCGAACAGAAGCTGTACCCCATGGTGCAGCAGCTGGAGGAGATGCAGCGAGATGCTACGATGCTCAAGTCCTTCCGAGTGTGGCCCAAGAGGCCGTTCGCACCTCTGCGGGACCTAGAGAGATTGGGAGTTCCCATGCCCGACAATGTCATCCCTCCGCCTGGATGAGTTTACTAATGGCGTCAACGCCTCCTACAAACTCATACTTAATTATGTAAAACTTGTGAAAATACAAAGTGACATAGTGGCCAGTACGTATTGGCAAAATATGATTGATTTATAGCAACATTATAATCACGTCTATTTTCATCCAAAAGTTTGTATTGTATAGTAAAGTGTGCCTGGGACACTAATTTGAAAAAAGTTTGGTTGAACATTGAGGATAAAAAAACATGTGATATAATGTTATTACTGACTTGCATGGCTGATCTGTTTAGTTTTATTTATAACTGTAAATATTAGGGTAATCTAAACTGACTTGGTACTAAGATTTTTTTACTTTCTTTTTCATACGATCATGAAACTATGACTGTTTGTAGTGACTTGGCGATTCTACGTGTTGTACATTGATGATATACATAAGTGATTGTAGATATCTCCAGCTCTCTGGAAATGTGATTTAATAATGCAGGTTTTAACTTTACATTTAGGGCATTTTAGTTTTACTGTAGTTTAAACCTTATTTGTAGGGTATACTATAAAATACACACGAAATGTGCATTGACAAAAATACAAGTTTAAGGATTGTATCCTCGAATTATGTCATATACAGAGTTTTTAAAGTTTATTGCAGTATACAATTTGTCTGGTTAATTAGGGCTTTCATATAATCTGTATAATTTGTTTTTACAGTTTTTGTTAGAATTTGTGTAATGTATGTTTACTTGTTCAACGCCCATATTTCACAACCACGTTCACCTGGGTATTTTTACAGAAATAATTTACCCATAATACATAAGTCAAAATATTTAGTATGAGACCTTGTCTCCTGAAATCAAAACTCTGTATCCCTGTAATAAAACAATTTGGGCTAAAACATGTATAAGTTTTGCAATTAATGCTAAGAAGAGACACCCCACCCCTAGAAATGGTTGCCAAAGTAATAATCAGTATTTCTGGTACTGTAATAATGTAGTCCATAGTAAGTCATAAAATCTACGCCTTTCGTATAATTAATTCTATGCCCAGCATTGTTGTGAGTTGAGTTTGGATGGATAATATTTATTTGAATTTATTCAATAATAATTCTGAGAACAGACCATTCAAAAATATTACTATATATAGTTTCTTTTTAACACACTACTTGTCCATCAATCAAAATGAGTTATTGTTTTTATTTACGAATTTAATATTGACAAGAAGTAAACTCATTTTTTTGCCTATTATAATTAATTATACTGTATACAACTATTTAATACGTTTCAGTGTATTTGATTGTAAAATTATAACAAGCATTAGTTAAAATTAATATCTTTGAAATCTACATAATTATAATTTTAAGAACCCATGTTTAAATACTTTTTATATTGTAAAAGCAGACATATTTTATTTAAGAGGCTGTGATTTTTATTAAGTTGAAGTTATTAAAAACTAACCGCTTTAGTTTCCGCCAAGGAAAGTTTTTATATTTTGTATATTTAAAATAATGTATTTTAGTGATAGCATTATTTTGTAGTAGTATTGTGTTGATAAAAAAATGTACTTGAACCTACTCAAAATGGAATTATACTATAGAATTATTGTAGAATTACTTTAAGTAAATCAATCAATATTGGAGTAATGGTTTTGTCACCACTAGGTAAAAATACAGTTGTTTCCTTGCCTTATCAGGACCAAAGATTATTTTTGTTTCTTTTAAAGTATCAATTGCTATGAATATTTGCTGGTAATTACTAATTACCAATAAAATCAGTTACATAAATGAAACCTTCAACTTGGCCTACCAAGTAATTCATTTGTCATGTTGATGCAATACAACCTGTGCATTTTGGTTTTAGTTGAATTAAAAACGCTGTAGACTACATAATTGTTAAATAAATACCCAATATTCTGATTTCTTAATTGATCTGCATTTTTATTATAACACATAATAATAAAATTCAGGGACTAATGTTAAATTACTGTCATGGTGAATTTCGTTTATACTATTTCTATTATATTCTGACCAGGGTCGGCTGTATTATAACATGTACAGATGGATTGTGTATATTAGGTTACATTCTAATTTTAATGTACATATTGCCACAAGCAAGCTGATCATGACTAGTTTAATGATATTCCTGAATGTTTTCTCTGGACAAATTGATAAAATCTATGTTCATCTTTACTATCTGAATGTTTCCCAAAGATGTGGCTTGTACACTCAGTTTTTTGCTATCAACAAACGTCTCGTGAAGGCCCATTCCTTGCGGAGAGTTATAAAGTAATGTCATTTATTTTAATACAGTATGACACAATGTCAACTCAATAATTTAATCTCTAGGTAGGGGTTACTTAAACAGTGACATAATTATATATAACTTTCTGACTCCTTATTACATACCTTTTTTATATAGGTACACAGTACAGTAGACTCCCTCTTATCTGGACACCTTTTAACCGGACATCGGTTTAACTGGACTACACTCGACGGAAATGACATCTCTTTGACCGGAAAATTTTTATCAGCACATTAGTTTAACCGGACTATATTGGCTGGTCATGAGCGGTACTGAAACGACTGTTCTCGTGGGAAAGATTTGAGACCAGTGATGACATGTCTAAATACAATGCTCTCCTAAATTTAAGCCAAATATCACAGTAAACGGTCCGTTTTAACGAGTTTTTTGGGATGTCAGCTTAACCGGAAAAACCGTTATCCGGACTGGCCTCGGTCCCGAGGAGTCCAGATAAGAGGGAGTCTACTGTTGAAAGAATACCCGTACCAATATGTTTTAAGTGGCGACATTAATATACTTCGTTTTACGGGTTCTCACCAGTGTCTGAGCCACCAAAACAGACTGATAATATAGATAATCATGTAAGATTCAGACAAATATTACAGTTAAAAAAAAATTTGAAACTTACTCAGAAATTATATTCTGAAATACAGACATCTAAGGAAGCAAAGATACAGCTGTTCCAATATACAAGAATTGTCATGTAAATGATCCCTAATGTGTTGTAAACTATCCCCTCCCATGAATAGGCTCAAAAGAAACATTAAACTTAAATTTAGCCTAACCTAAATGTTTTTCTTTTGCTATATTCAATTGGGTAATTGCGTTTTTTTAAGTATACAGTAGTGTACAATTAATTTTACCGCCCTTAATATTTTTAAAAATTGTTCTTTGGTTAATATTTTATATACGTTTTTTGTAAGTTATGTTTCCAGTGTTGATAGCTTCAAACTGAGTCAATCAAAAGAGTGTTCTCTGCAGTGTTTCAGTAGATATTTTTCCACTTGATATGTTGACATTTAACTCAATGTTTAGTTAACAATAAATGAGATTAGACAATGTCATCTAGTGTTTTCCAACCCATTTTGATAATTAAAACTGTGAAACCTTAAGATTAACAAAAATGTCAATATTATTTTCTTATAAAGCAGTATGATGAACATCTGTTCATCAGGGGTTCTACTGCATTAATATTCTTACATTCAAACTGTTCATTTGGTCCATACACAAAGGTTTTATACTGCAGTGTGTAAATATCTAGCACTTTTTTTTATTAACAATGTAAATAACGTGTTTAAGAATCTTCATGAAGAATTTAGTAAATTCTTTATTTTGTGATTCATTTTGGGCATTTTGCCAGCTAAGCTGGCATCGTTATTTATTTTTTTTTTTATGTGTCTGACAAAAAGGCCTCTTAAATAAAAACATTATAAAATATTGGTTTTAATGTTTAAATTTATATATTTAAGAATATTTGAAAAACTGTTCTCTGTGCTATTTTTATTTACACTGCAAAAAGTAAAATACGTTTAGATCCAAAATCCATGAAATTCAAACAATTATAAATAAAACACCCCTGCCATAGAAAACCTATGAGAAATAGTTAATCAACATTTAATGGTCATTTCAATGATCAATATGTTGTATTGATATCGTTGCATGGGGTGGGGATGCTGCAATATTAAGATGACCAAGCAAATCATCCGCCTGATTGGATTTTCAGAAAAATATTTCTTCAAAAATGTAAAATTTATTTAAATATTGTTACGGTTAACGAGTACATAGGTTTGCTGCTACAGCGAGGTACCTAAAAAAGTATGTCTTACTCTCCCCCCATTTTCTTAGTATATGGAGAAAGTATTGATTTTGTCAACATGTTTGAGTTTTGTGTGGATATGGAGATTCAGATTGATAGTTCCGTTATAATCTGATCATGGTTTAAAAAAATTGTGCATAAATTTTAAAATAATGAATTAATTATTTCAATGAAAGAGGAAGCCTTCTAAGAACTAACTTACTCAATATAAGATATCTGAGGTCTACCATAGCGAAGTAAGGTAGGTATAAAGAAAATATTCAATAGCAGGCTACACTCAGTGGTGTCTAGGGCAAAGTCCAACACCACCCTGACCCTCCTCGCCCTCATATATCGCCATCGGTTGTTTCAAAATAAATATCGAAGTTTTAATGCTTTAGCACTTTTTTCCAAATGACACATCAAATGGAAAAAGCAACTCAAAGAGTTTAGGCTTTCCATTGACACATTGATTAACATAATCAATCCAGTAGAACTGTAGATTTAGTACAAAGCTTCAAAAGAACTCTAGCTTGGTATTTTTTCACCACTATAAATTCGGAGGCTGCTTAACTTTTTTGCAAATAACTTTTAATTGGTGAGGAAATCGACCAAAATGGATGATAATATTCTGAAAGAGGAATAACATTTCCTACATTACTATTAACCATTTCTTGAAAATACTCAATAAAGGCTGCCAAATCTGCCTCCAAATAAAAATGTGCCACGTGACGATGTGTCATATATAGCGGGAAGTTTAATGTAAAAGACATAAAGTAGCCTATCAAGAGTTAAAACCCTGCTATTTATTTTTAAACAACCGGTAGATTTCATAGAGCTGTATCACAAGGACTTGAGTTAAAACAACTAGAATAATCATATTCACTCTTTTCAAATATTAAATCAAACCATTTATGACTGTTTAGGCAAAATAGACGATTAGCTAATTTTAATGACAGATGATATAGCTGTTAAATGATTATACAATTTCTTCAGAATGATACCAGTAAGTCAACACAATGTTTCAAGTTCTGGTATGATCCTAATACAGATAAAATGTTACTTACCGTTAGCCATGGGAGTCCATCTGAATTTTCTAATTGTCTACAAAATAAACCTCAGTAAAAAGCGTGATCCTAAGGTTACTCCCAGAAAATAATTAAAATTTAGATCAAAATGTTTATTTTTTTGATTTTTTTACATAAATTTGCTTTGTCAATTTCTACAGTGTGATTGAAAAGTCCCGGAACGGTGTTATATATTTTTAACCTTTATAGATAAAGTAATAATAATAAGACTTGGTATATCAATGATAACCATAAGTGTCTACTCTTTCAAGCTATTATTATATTTTTCCTTTTAAGGGGGACGGCCCACAAGGAGTAAGACGAAATTTTCAAAAAGCAGCATACGTCAAGTGTGGTATCAAATCAAAGGTCTTATTTAGTAAAACACAATGCCGCAAACCCAAACTCAAATGGACAACCAAGTCAAAAATGGCAGCCGTTCAAATGGGTGTAGGCACATGACCGAGGCTGTAATCCTCTTAATCACGGTCGGTTGACCTGTCAGTTCTAGGTTGGTGTCGAACGCTTCCGCATCATACCGTGCATTGCCGAACTGTTCGAGGCAAATTTTTAGCTCTACCGTCGCTGTCAAAACGTATCGTTTGTAGGTTAAATTTAAATTTAATTTAACTGTCATAACCTAACCAAACTTGCTGATAATGAAAAATCAAATGAAGGTTTACTAATAAAAAAATAGTTCTGTTCATAAAATAAAGTTACAAATACCTAAAATTTAATTTGTTTTTTATTTTTTAATTATAAAATTAAACTATACTAACCTAAGCAAACCAACCAAACTTGCTGATAATGAAAAAATCGAATAAAGGTTTACTAATTGTTGAAGAATAAAGATTGTTTGCCTTGAATGAGTAGGCTTTATTTAACACAATTCAAGTAATGGAATTCATAAGTAAGAGTTAAATCTAGAGAATGAAATAATGATTACAAACATTCAACATAAACAAATAAAATAACAATGTCCAACAACAGCTGGGAATATTTTCTATCACATTCTTCCCCGCAAATATAATTTAAAGTCTTTAAGGTGAGAAGGTAGTTTCTTCTGTCTTGAGCTTCGTCTCTGTGATTGTGTTTCATCAGTCCTTAAGGTTTGTAGAGGCTCTTGAGTTGCAGATTCTTCTATCACCTCTGCATCGGGATGAGACACATCCTGGGTCTCGTCTACTAAGTTTACATCGCTATTAAGTTCCATTGTGTGGTTCTCTGGTGTTGATTCATCATCAAAATCTGTTCTCTCAGCTTGTTTTCCACAAGGAGCTAAGTTGCGTGTAGACACTGTTGTCTCACGCCCATCTGGTAATCGTACATGAGCGTAATCAGAGTTTCCTTCCAGCAATGTCACCTCCTGCACTATTGGTTCATACTTAGAGTTTCTGATAGGACGTCTCATCAACACTTTTCCAGGAGTCATCAACCAGGTTGGTGTGGAAACACCATTTTGTGATCTTCTGGGATGTCCAAACATTCGTTCATGTGGCGTACAATTCGTGGCAGTACAAAGCAAGGATCGGATAGAGTGAAGAGCTTCATCCAGAACTAATTCCCACTTTGTCACGTCAAGTTGATAGTTCTTAAGGGCAAGTTCTACTGTTCTCCAGATTATACCATTATATCTCTCAACCTGGCCATTACACTGAGGGTTGTAAGCAGTAGTCCGACTAGAAGCAATGTCGTTTAAAGCGAGAAACTCCTTTAGTTCTTTTGAAAGAAAAGAAGATCCCTGATCGGAGTGAATGTAGCTAGGAGTACCGAACAATGAAAATAACTGTTTCAGTTTGCAAATAACAGTCGAAGAGGACATATCAGGACAGGGGTACGCAAATGGAAATCGTGAGTACTCGTCAATGATTGTTAGCATATACCGATTTCTTGTAGAAGAGGGAAGAGGACCCTTAAAATCCAGGCTAAGACGTTCAAACGGTGATGTTGCTTTTATTAATTTTCCATCATGTTTGAAGAATCTTGGTTTTACTTCAGAACACACCTTACAGGAAGCAGTCATTCTTCTTACCTCATCAAGGGAGTATGGTAAATTTTTGCTTCTTATCCAATGATACATACGAGTTTCACCAGGATGACACATTTTTTCATGATATTGATGAAGTCTGTTCATTTTGTCGCTCATCGAGCACACTCGTGATAGAGAGTCAGCAGCTACATTCAGTTTACCAGGTCTATAAACAATATCATAACTATAGCTTGATAGTTCTAGTCTCCACCTCATGATTTTGTCATTCTTAATTTTCCCCGATATCTTAGAGTTGAACATGAAAGAGACAGACTTCTGGTCTGTTATTAGTTTGAAATGTCTGCCTAGCAAATAGTGTCTCCATTTTCGTACTGACTCCACGATTGCATATGCTTCCTTTTCAACCGAACTGTGCTTTAGTTCACTATGAGACAGACCTCTTGAGAAAAAGGCTACAGGTTTTCCTTCCTGGGTCAGTGTTGCTGCTATTACAGTGTCAGATGCATCAGTCTCAACAGTGAAGGGTAGATCAGGATTTATGGGATTCATTGAGGCATTTTCAATCTCTTGTTTCAGTTCATTAAATGTCTTTATAGCCGTTGCGGATAAAGGGAAAGAGCTGGTTGTCAGAACTTTAATCTTTTCAGAAAATCATGGGACATATCTTGAGAAATGGGAAAACATTCCTACTGCCCTTCTTAGGGATGATGCGTTTGTGGGCAAGGGGAAATTCTTTAGAGGTAAAAGCCGATCAGAATCTGGCTTAATTGTTTTGTTGCTTATTGTATATCCAAGGAGACTAATAGATTTCATTGAAAAAGAACATTTATTTTCATTAATAGTCAAGTTATACTTGCTAGCAGCGTTCATCAGCCTGTTTAGGTTCCTATCATGCTCCTCTTGTGTTTTACCACATACTGTTATGTCATTTAAATAAGCAAATGTGTCATTAAGATTTTCTGCCCTGATTATGCCATCAATAACTCTCTGGAATGCAGCAACTCCATTTGTCACCCCAAAAGGAATTCTGGTAAATTGATACAGCTGACCACATGCTTCAAAAGCTGTAAAAGGCTTATCTTCAGCCTTGATCGGTATTTGATGGTAAGCGCTTTTTAAATCAATGGCACTAAACACTTCATAGTTAGCAACTTTATTGACAATTTCTTCAAGATTTGGGATTGGATAAGCATCGAGACTTGTAAATCTGTTTATAGTGTTAGAGTAGTCTATTACCATACGCTTCTTATGGTTTTCGGAGCTGGTAACAAAAGCTTGAGCTCTCCATGGAGATATACTTGGTTCTATTACCCCTTCATGCAATAGTGAGCGAATTATTTCTGAAATAAACTGATAATCTGTTACTGTATGACGGCGAGATTTCACAGAAATAGGGTGACAATCATGTGAAATATGCTCAAATAGTGAAGCTTGTGGTACATTTGCAGCAGCTACAGATACTATAGCAAGAGGAGATTCGGGTCCGCCTAATGTGAGTTCTAATTTAGAATGGCGACTGAGTAAATCATGACCTATTATCAAATCACAACAGAGGTTGGGTAAAATGCACAAAATCACATTTTTGTATGAGTTACCAAGAATCTTCAAATTAACTTTGCATTCACCTTTAGTTTAAGAAGTTAACTCAGAAGCCGCCATTGATACTTGACTGATTTTAGAAGGATAGGTTTTTATTTTCAGCTGATTTACTAAGTCACTACTCAGGAAACTAGTGGTACTACCAGTGTCAATTAGGGCTTGAGCTGCTTTACCATTTACATTAACTGGGACAATAGCTTTTGAAAGACCTAGGGGATAACTTGAAGAACAACTTATGTGGCTTATGACAGATGAAGTTGTATGTTTAATTTTTGAGTTTTGACCAAAACTTGATTTATCTATTTGAGAGGAAGACTTACATACCTTAACAAAGTGACCCTTTTTACCACAACCTTTACAGTAAGAATTTCTTGTGGGACAGTCATTTCTTGGATGTCTATTGAATCCACAGAAGAAACATCTATTATTACTCCCAGAAGTAGCGGCTATGGTTGGATTATTTGTATCATCGTCTTGAACGATTGAGTTTTCTTAATAATAATGGTTTAGTTTACCTCTGTCAATATGGTCCTTGTGTAGTTTGTCACTACTGCAGTTTCGTGCTCGTGGAGCACATCATCAGGTGAAGGTCACAAAAAGTTAAAACATTTTCCTTACGTGAAGGTCGTCAATTAACACACCGAAAAAACACATAACACACAAACGGTACGAAAAAACATTTAACTTGGCCAATACACAGCATCTTATTCTAAGGATATAAATAAAATGATTTCATCCTGTACCAACCTTTTGTCTAAAGAGGAAATCATGCAAAACAAAATGACAAAACCGCAAGCTCCAATTCTACGCGGGTTACCAAAGATACATAAACAAAACGTCCCAATAAGGCCCTTAGTTAATTATAGACCGTCACCGGCATATAAAATTGCACAGAAATTAGATAAGATTATTAGGAAGGAAACCAAGTTAGAAAATGACCATAGTGTAAAGAATACAATTGATTTGGTAAATAAAATATCTAACATTGACCTAAAGGGATCCTATATACTCGCTTCATTTGATGTTGTAAATTTATTTACTAACGTACCAATCGACGAAACGTTAGATATATTGAAAGATAATTTAAATACACACTCTACATTGTCCAACGAGGCTAAAAACGAACTTATAAACTTAACAAGATGTGTTTTAAAACAGAATTATTTTATGTTTGATAACAAATATTACAAACAAAACGAGGGACTGACAATGGGGTCGCCTCTTTCCAGTGTTCTGTCAGAACTGTTTTTGAATAAAATTGAAAACAAGTTTCTATTCTCTGATTTAAATCGCTATAAGAGCAAAATCATCCATTACAGCAGATACGTAGACGATACATTTATCGTGTTCCAGGGTAATGAAAGGCAGATTAAGCTACTAAGCACATACTTTAATACTTTTCACAAGAACTTGACATTCACAGTTGAAATTGAGAAAAATAAGACATTAAATTTCCTGGACGTTACCATCACAAGAGCAAACAACAGGTTTGATTTTAAAATTTACCGGAAACCTACAACCACTGACCAGACAATTCATTCAACTTCGCATCATCCCCATAATTATAAATTATCTGCCTACAATAGCTATGTCCATAGACTGCTTTCCATACCACTAAGCCCAGAAAATTACAACAATGAAATAGACATATTAAAATACATTGCAGTATCTAACGGATATGAGAGTGCCCTGATCGACAAACTGATTAGGAAACAAAGAAACAATAAAAAGGATAATCAGATACATACAAAAGAACCCAAAAAATATGTTAGTGCAGAATATGGCATCGTACTTAATAATGTTCTCAAAAAAGAATTAGCAAAAAACAATATCACAGTTGCTTACAAAACCACAAACAAACTGTCCAGTAATTTAAAAGAAAGACAAACTGACAATAGCGATAAATTAAACAACACTGGAGTGTATAAAATAACATGTAATGATTGCCCCAGTTTTTATATTGGGCAAACATCACGCTCTTTTGCAACTAGATTTAAGGAACATTTACCAAGAAAGAACTCCAAATCAGCTTTTGCCAACCTTATCATTGATTCAAACCATAGTTATACTGATATACAAACAAATTTAGAAGTAATGCATACTTGTCATAAAAGTAAATACATGGACACCATCGAAGAATTTGAGATTTACCGAGCAGCTAAAGTACATCCAAACCATATTTTAAACGAACAACTCTCATTCCAGTCAAACATTATTTATAATACCGCCATTCACATCCTGGAACAAGACCAAAGAAAAGGTTCTGATAAGAGAAGTGAGGACGGAGGGGCTACCGACTACAACACACGTCAGTCATGACTTGCCTTCTACCGGCGCCGGACCCCGTGTGTAACGTCTTTAATGTATTGGCCAAGTTAAATGTTTTTTCGTACCGTTCGTGTGTTGTGTGTTTTTTCGGTGTGTTAATTGACGACCTTCACGTAAGGAAAATGTTTTAACTTTTTGTGACCTTCACCTGATGATGTGCTCCACGAGCACGAAACTGCAGTAGTGACAAACTACGCAAGGACCATATTGACAGAGGTAAACTAAACCATTATTATTGTTGCTGTATGGTCCAGAGGCTACCCATCATGAGTTTTCTTGTTTTAAAACTGAATTGAGATTTGAGCTGGGTTGATATAGGAGGGCTTGTTGTTGTGCACTTTCCAAACAACGGGCCTGTTCATAAGCATCTTGAAGAGGCAGCTTAAAGTTCTCTAGCAGTCTCTGGCGAATGTGTGGAGCAATCAGACCATTTACAAATGCATCTCTAATGCAGTCATCTCTATTTTCTTCTGCAGAAGTAGCTTTAAAATTGCAGTCTTTGCTGAGTATCTTTAAAGCTTCTAGATATTGGTCAACTGATTCTCCTGGTTGTTGCTGACGAGTAGATAACTTATGGCGAGCAAATACTTCGTTCACTGGCTTACAATATAGATTTTGAAGATTACCAATTGCATCTTTAAAATTCAAACATTCACTGATATAAGTATATACTGAAGGCACCACATAGTTGATTAGAAGTTTCAATTTCTCAGATTCATTTGCTTCTGTCACTTCAATAAAATTTGTAAATGTCCTGAGCCAGTGATTCCATTCCATTGCTGCTGTTGAAGAGTTTGGATCTATTGAAAGTTTTGCTGGAGCAAAATGTTTTTCCATGATTGCAGATATTGTGTTAAATAAATTGTTGAAGAATAAAGATTGTTTGCCTTGAATGAGTAGGCTTTATTTAACACAATTCAAGTAATGGAATTCATAAGTAAGAGTTAAATCTAGAGAATGAAATAATGATTACAAACATTCAACATAAACAAATAAAATAACAATGTCCAACAACAGCTGGGAATATTTTCTATCACACTAATCGAAAAATAGTACTGATCATAAAATTATAAATTCTAACAAAAGATGTACAGTTAAGAAGTAATCGCATTCTAAGCGAAATCCTTGACAAAAAGTTAACGCCTCCGGTGGGATTCAGAATTTCCCCATCCCTCCTCCGGTGACCACTACCCTCAGGCCATAAATCAGGGGATTAACCCAAACAAAGATCTGGGCCGCTGTCCGTCTCCCGTTCAGATATTTCTTTTATCTGCCATTTTGAATCTTTGAATGGCTGCCATTTTTTACCCAGCTGTTATTTTGAGCTCAAATTTTTGGCATTGTATTTTACTAATAAATACCTTTAATGTGATGTACATATCAACCTATGCTTAGGATCATGATTTTCTTCCGATTTCTAGCGGGCACCCCACAGTAAACTTACGTGTCAATACCTTTTGTGTATAGTAAAATGGCCGGCTTGTGTATGGTAAATGGCTGACAGTACGTCAAATTTACGTATTGATACCCTTAGCGTCATGCTGTATGACAATACCTTTCTAGGGTATTATCCATTTTAGTTTTTTTTGTCTTAGGGTTTCAAAGTTTCCCTATGTTGACGACACACATATTATGTCCTTTTGTCTGTTATTGTTGGTTATATAGCCATGCACTTTTTGCTCCACCTCTATCTGTTACTGCTTTGTCGCGTTCTTCGTCAAACCAAGACTTTTATTGCCTCTTTTTTTCTTTTTCTTTTTTCCACGGACTTCTTCTTCACACTTCTGAATGAATAGTATTGTTTAAGTCAGTCCAAGCTCTTTCTATTCCATCTTTTTCCTGACGTTCTTCTTCCAAAGTGTTTTACCTTTCCATTGCCGTACCGCCAAATTGAAGGAGATTTAAGCTAACTTCCACCTAGGCACACCAACCAATTAACCAACTTAGTTAATAATCACTAATCAGCATGGATTCTATCAGTTCAAAATTAGGGTTTCCCGGGTTTGACCCTTAAAAACATAATACTTCTGCAGCATACTTGCAGACTAAGCAAATTTGTATTTTTCTGATTGGATTTTTACAAAAATTTTTCCTTAAACTACGGTATCAGTTACCAATCTATACTAATAATAGTGTCTAAGTAAATTGGATTGTATGCACTCAACCAATGAACCTTTTTGGTTTTTTTTTCGGAGACCTCGGATTTACTATTACTCATTCTGAACAAAGTCTTCTTCAACAAGTACTAAACTACTTCTCCCACTTCTCACTTTCAGGTTTATTCAGTTACTTCAAAAGAGTCTTTCAGCATTATTTAAAAAGCAAAAATAATTGTACATGCTAAATTTCAGACTGACCAGTACTGATATTAGTTATTTGACTGCTAACACCGTTCTTTTACTTATTAATAGGTAAAAAGATGAAAGTGTATCAATCGTTCAAATTTTTATATGGTTTAAATAGTAAAGATACTACAGGATAAAATGTCTTAAAGTATTTTGTTAAGATTTGTTTAGGATGTTTGTTTAATGCAATTTTGGAGGGTAAATCAGCAATGACTGAGCCATTACAGAGGCTTTGCCTTTTTTAAATTGCCCAAAGGTACTTAGTATCAAGAGGTTTGTATGATCCAGTTTTCATTGAACGTTATTCAGTTTGATTAAGTGGTGCCTTCCTGTATCCGAGTGCCCTTCTGTGCAGCACTGGGGATCACTCTCACCGAGTCACCTGCAACTGAAACTGATCGGTGAGTTGACTGCCTCTATCCTGTTGATATGCAATGTTGTGTTCATTGTTGTACGTTGTTGTTCAAGCTATTTAGAATTAAAGTTTGAAGCTTCTAACTACTTAAATTCTAGTTCACAAATGTTTTCAGTAATTAGCTTTTTTTAACACTATTGTTTAATTTTTTTTAGTTTCAACACTTGCCTTGAATCTATGTATATTTAGGTGACAGAAGAGTTTGGCATGCCATGGACGGACATCGGATTACATTGCAGTTCCTGCAAGATATTGTATCAGAAATGGACCCTGATGTCACTGTGTCATCATTTGAGGTCAGTAAAAAGCTATACTTAATGATTTTTACTTCTTACAACTTAGCACAGAGTTGATGGTGCAAAAGATAGGTTAAATTGTAAGAATGACCATTTTCGAATCGCAATCTGATGACTATGGGTATCTGAGAGTGATTGACAAACCACCCAATTTAAGATGCTGGAGTGTGAGCTTTAAATTCAAACATTTTTCCTGGAACAATTGTTTACCAAGCAATACCGCAATACTGACAATATAAAGAACACAATCACTCCAATTTGGATAATAAAAAAAAACAACTATGATATCATACATCAGGGCCTGCATCAAAACATGCATTTAGATGACCAGATGTGTAAATTGTCTATAGTTAAAAGCCATTAAACAAAAAAATGGCAAATTTTTGATATGTAGTTTTCAAAGAAGATATTTTGAAATTTTAATGGTAAACTTAAATTTACGGCGATGAAAATGATTGATTACTTTCGTTTTATTATGGTTAGTCTATAAATTGAAAAAATGTACTTTGAATAGAGGAATTGAGATTCAATTTTGTGTGAATTGACACAGGTTAGTCTCTAAGTAATCATTTATTTTTAATTAACTAAGAAATGATGTTATTTTATTGATGGTAGTCCTGCCACATGTTTTATACTCTACAGAAGTCTGTATCATCGTATCATGTAAAGACTCGTAGCTGCAGAGTCATTCACGGTAGTCTGTTGACAGGTGAGTCACGCAGCAGGTCGGGGAGACAACTACACGTCTACACTGTACAGAGTGTTGGTCTGTGGCAGTAAAGACACAGAAGTTTGGAGTCGCTCTCTTATTTACAAGCAGCTGCCAGACAGTCTGGCCCATAGAGAGTTATACCGCTCAGATGTACTCTTCCTCAACGAAGTCTCCTTCTACAAGGAGGCACTCACTGCTCTGCTGCAGTTTCAGGTTAGCTCTAAAGTTCTATTTAATAACTTTCTGGTTGGAATTCTACGTTTAGGCGCTATTATAGGAATACAAAAAAAGGAATACGTCTTCAAACACTATCTAACATATTTTCACGTAATATATGTAAAGATGTTACAATGGTGATCGTTTTGGATCTGTAACACTGGTTATCATTAAGATTGGGATTGTAAATTAACTTATTAACTCAATTTAGTCCTATAGAGGATAGTGATTTTTTAAATATTTGTGTGGGTGTAAGAATAATTTGAAGTGAGAATCACAAAGTTGATTTGTTTCTAGAGCTGTACAGGAGGGAGCCAGTCGTTCACGGTGGTGCCTAAGTGTTTCTTGGCTCACAATGATGTCCTGGTCCTTGAGGACCTCAGAGAGAGAGGCTTTGTGATGGGCAACAGGCAGGAGGGACTTGACTATCTACATTGTGTGGCTGTCTTCAGGTAACTGTTATACCTAAAGTAATAAAAGTAGAATCTAAATTTATGTTTTGATTTGTTCAGGGATTGTCAGTCCTTTACGTGCAAACCAAGAAAATATGGTATTATTGCTAATTTATCGATTTCAAAGCCTTCCTACTGTACTCCCGCCAAAATGAACATTTGTTCTCACAATGCTGTTGCTCCTAAGTACTCAACAGAGAAGCAGTTGTTTCATGTCATATTTAAATCCCAGAGTGCAGGTAAACTAAGGCATTGGAGCCATTTCTTAGGCAGAGTGGTATACTGCAAGGTAGCTGCTGTCTTTAACCATATATTATTCAATGTTTGATATTTCAATATGAGGCCATTAATGCACAGTCCAGTGTATGTGTATGTGGCAGTTGACTGTTAGTTGCAACTGCACTAGGATTGTTGAAAATGTGATTTATTAAATCAGTGACAATGTGTGTGCCTTCTGCGGTCCATGAAAATTGTCATTTAATGTTAAAATAATGCAGTGCAATAACATGAAAAGCTATAATTCTGTTCTGTACCAAAAGAATGAGATCATTGATCATCTAGAAAATGGTAAACCAATCTTAACTAGGGACTAAAGTAAAAGTTGTCATTTTAGACGGTTGTCTTTCTTTCTCTGACCACATCAGTCAGTTAGAGTCTATACCATCAGGTATTTACTTTATAACTTACTTTACTTTATACTTTAATATTAAATCGTGACCATACAAAGTAGGTTTGTTACTAGAAGAAGTAGAATATGAGTTAGTGCAGTCACTGGTCCCATCCCTAAGCTAAGTGCTACAGTATATAGTATATCTAAAGTCAAAATGAGGTCCGTTATACAATTTATATTAAAGCAATACAATCCAATTTTATAGTTTCACTTTGCATTAAAATTTCATCATTTGAATAAACAACGAAATAATTTCAGAGAAATTGGAAGATTTCATGCTCTATCACTTGCTATGAAAAGTAAAGAGCCAACATTGTTTCAAGAGCAAGTGGCATCGAAAATCCGAGAAACATTTTTTACTGATCAGAACGAAGAGTACTATCATGACTATTACTGCACCTTGATCAAAAATGCCCTAGCTATGGTAAGTATAAGTTGAACTTGAATATTTTAGGAATACACTGTTCACAGACCAGACCCAAAAAAAATGTAAACAGTTTTAAACATCACATTATATTTTATTACAATTAGTATTAATTTAATTTGAATGTTGAGATATTGAACATAAAATTTCACTAAATACAGTAGAACCTCGCTAATTTGAACCTCGATAATTCTAAAACCTTTATAATTAGTAATGTTTGTCTATTCCCCACAAAACCCCTAAACCTCTAAAGTTCAAAAAATAATATACCGATAATTCAAAGTGATTTTTACGCTTAATGCAGCCGCTACAATTGGAATTTCCACATACTTGAGCCTCTACAATTAGAATTTAATTGCCATAATTCAAATTGTTACCTCAAAAATTCAAAGTCAACCTCTACAATTCGAACTGCGTTACTGTAAGCCACTGTCATTCGAATTTAGAACAAAAAATACGCCTGTTGAAACATGAACTGACGCTCTTATTGATGTTCCCACAATATGTTCATTAGTCTCCGTTCCCTCAAACTCTCTACACATAAAAATGATACCTCCATAATTTGATTTTTATTTATTCTGACCTATAGTTCAAACTGTCTATATTTCAAACTTCCTGTGATTCAAAATATATTGTCTTTCCTCTGAAATTCGAATCAGTGAGGTTCTACCATAGATAAAAGGAGTACCTATAGACACTACTTATCAAGTACTACATCTTTGTGTACACCTTCCACTTCTACCTCCTTTGACTTAGAAGCATAAACCTTTATGCCAAAAGAGTTTATCTGAACATTTTTCTTATCAATTTTCTGAATAAAAAAGGTGTTTACAAAATCATTAAATCGCTTCAAAACGACCAAGACGTATTACAATCCAATAACCAATTAAACCTTTTGAGAAAATCCAGTTGGACCATATCTTCTTTTTTCTTTTTGAGCCCTGAAAATATAACACATGTGCAATTTAATCTTATAATTTTGTTAAAAAATATCATGCAAACAAATAGGTAGATGCTGGCCTAGAAAATACAGAAAAGCTTACTTACCTGAACAAGTTGAAGAAATTTCTTGACGAAAAAACTTTCTTCAAGACGATGACTACATTTGCTCAACCGAAGGAGCCTCTTGCTGTGCTTACTCATGGTGACTTTTGGACCAACAATATCATGTTTAGATACTCTGACAGTGGGGAGATTGAAGAGGTGAGTTCTAGCATTGAATAGTTCTTCTACGACGTCAGGATTTAAAACACTCCATAAGTGTCAAAAAAATAGTTACTAAAGATATGCATCTTAAAATGAATCAGTAGGCAAGACTGTCAACAGGCTCAACTCCTTATAAATTTCAATAGCTAAATTGGCGTGAAAAAATCTGTCTTCTGTTAACAATGATTTAAAATTTAAATAATCAGTAATCGAGGGCTTAAAAAACAAAAAGATTATCTTACAACTAGGGACAATAGTAATCTGGTTATAGAACTAATCAATCCCAGCTCTTAGTCTTATTAGTATAATTCGTACCTACGGCTGAAAATAAGATTTTACTGGCTCGAGATCATTTTTAAGTTCAAGACAAAGTAGAGAATTTAAAACGATAGAGAGCAGCAAAGCCCTTTCTGGCCGTGGCTCGAACACTATTTTTCACCACACTATACATAATTGAGAAAATTTATACAATAAATGCACACTAATAGTCAACACAACTAAATACTAACTTTAAGGTTATGTGAAGATATAATGAGCAGAAAAAATAATAAATAGTTGCTAGGCAGAGCAATAAAACAAGTCTATTGCAGTGCACTGCTTGTGTATTTAATACAGGGTGGCTGAAAAGTAACTTGCACCCCCCTTAACTCTTCAACCATTTGAGTTATTTGAAATCTGTTTGCGGCTAGTTTCTATTTCTTTGCTAGTTTTTTACCTTCTTAGGTTTGAGGGGCTACAATAATAATTTTGGTCAATTTTGAAAATTTTGCCCTTAGGGGTCCGGGGGTAGGGGTAGCTCAAAATGTTCAAACGACAATTATAGTCGAGTTTAGTATCATTTTACAGGTCTTGACAAAACATAAAAATTGACATAAAGGAAACCAAAATCGGCCCACTAATAACGAAATGTCGCCCTAAAACGTTTCAATTCCAAATAACAATGAGGGTGGCTGAAAATTTACTTGCACCCCCCTTAACTTTTTTAATATTTGACATATTTGAAATCGGTTTGCGGCAACTTGTTTGGATATGAAGGGCTAAAATAATTATGGTCAGTTTTGAAAATTTTGCCCTTAGGGGTAGCGGGGGTCCTAATAGCTTGAAATTTTCAAACAGCAAGTATAGTCGAGTTTGGTATCATCAAGAAAATATAAATCGGTTTATATATAATAATAGTTTTGCCAGCATATCTGAAAATATGCAAACCTGCTGCTGTTCTTAATATAAGGTTTCAACTGACTACTATAAGAGCCCCGTGCGTAGAACGGGCACACATCTAGTGTTTCCTAAAGCAAGATAGTAGATGAGTGAACGAAGTGAACGAATCTATGTATCGTGTATAGCGGAGTCAGAGATTAGTTGTCCGCTTGTGGGTGTGTGTGACTGTTTTCGCACCTAAAACTCAGGAACCGTTGCACTTACAGCGTTCAAATTTTGCACAAATAATTATGGCACCAGTGTAAAGACACCATTAAAATTTTAGACGATTCCGCTCAGTAGTAATTATAAAACACTAAAAATAAATTTTTAAATTTGTCCCATAAGAATAACATTAGAGGCTACCTTCTTCTTCTTTTTATTTGTTTACGTTTTGTGACCAACAATTTTGTTTTCTACTTAAGACAGAGAGAACGACTTTTACTCTAAGCTCTTTCATTCATGGAGTAAACAGTTTGACGTCTATGAATATCATATATCTTTATAATTTTAGAACTAACAGAATATTAAATTGAACTTAACAATATTAGTCGCAGTTATATACAGTTTATGTTCAGTATTAAAATTCACATTTTATATCTGTACAGTATTTAGAACAAAGCAGCTTTTTATATTATTCAATTTAATGTTGGCATTGACTATTAGACAGTCAAAGATGTTAGTCTATTTTTATACTATAATGCTATGCGAGGGAGGAAAACAGGTCCACGACGTAGGGAGTGGTGAAGGAAGTGGTAAAGGTGAGCAGTGTGGAGTGTAACCCTTTGTGACAGTTAAATTAATGTATCTGTAATACCAAAATGCTATGGGAAGGGAAGGAAACGGGCCCAGGACGTAGGAAGTGGTGAAGGAAGTAGTCAAGGCGAGCAGTTCGGAGTGTGGGAAGCCTTAGTGCCAGTTAGAATAATGTGTCTGCAATTCTAAAAAAGCTATGAGAAGGGAGGGAAACAGGCCCACGACGTGGGAAGTGGTGAAAGAAGTAGTCAAGGCGAGCAGTCCGGAGTGTGGGAAGCCTTAGTGACAGTTAGAATAATGTATCTGCAAACCTAAAAAAGCTATGGGAAGGGAGGGAAACAGGTCCACGACGAAGGAAGTGGTGAAGAAAGTAGTCAAGGCGAGCAGTCCGGAGTGTGGGAACCCTTTGTGACAGTTAGATTAATGTATCTGCAATAAAAACAAACTATGGGAAGGGAGGGAAACAGGTCCACGACGAACGAAGTAGTAAAGGCAAGCAGTCCGGAGTGTGAGAACCCTTTGTGATAGTTAGATTAATGTATCTGCAATTCTAAAAGGCTATGGGAAGGGAGGGAAACAGGTCCACGACGAATGAAGTGGTGAAGGAAGTAGTTAAGGCAAGCAGTCCGGAGTGTGTGAACCCTTTGTGACAGATAGAATAATGTATCTACAATCTATGAGAAGGGAGGGAAGCAGAACTACGACGTAGGAAGTGATGAAGGAAGTAGTCGAGACGAGAAGTCCGGAATGTCGGAACCCTTTGTGACAGTTAGATTAATGTATCTGCAATACTAAAATGCTATAGGAAGGGAGGGAAACATGTCCAAGACGTAGGAGGTGGTGAAGGAAGTAGTCAAGGCGAGCAGTGCGGTGTGTGGGAACCGTTGGTGGCAGTTAGATTAATGCATCTGCAACCAATGACTTTGGTTTATTAATGAACGAGAAGTTAGGATTGTTGTCGACTGAGATTTGGTTGATTTGCCCATACAAATTACATTGTGTTCTGTTCACCAATGACACCGGTAAGTAGGCTAGGTGCGGGTGTACTCTCACGTTCACTCATCCCGTTACGCGCAGAATACGCGTACTACTAGTTTATAAATGAGTATATAGGTCTCTAAGGGTATTACTATGATTGAGTTCTACCACGGCCGTCTTTAACTCCAGGCCGCGGCCTTTGAAGTGGCAACGTCGCAAGAGGGGTTGTAACACCTGCTTTGTCTGGGAGCAGCTAATGGTATTTGTGTATTTATGAAAGCTTGGTTACTGCTGGACTATGACAATATTGACTCCGCTTAAAATGTACAGATATATATTTCTAATTCATATTGTTTCGGTTTAAAATTCTGTATGTTTAATTTCAATATTTTAATAAATTTATGTTCATAATTTTAAATTTAATTCATTAAAGTGTGAATTAATGAGCCGATGTCACCTGTCTGCCATGTTATCTAATGAGACATCTGTCACTAAACAACCCTACTTCGACTTTGCCAATTCTACCAGGCCGCAGCCTGTAGTTGAAGGTGGCCGTGGTTCTACTGTTCAATTCTCAGTAAAGTCCTAGCGGCTTTCACTGAATCATCCACTCTATAAGTGTACTAGCATGAACTGACTGTATGTTGTATTGCTGAAGGTATGTTTTGTGGACTTTCAATGTGCAAGATACGGATCTCCTGCGTTGGACCTGGTCAACTTCCTGTACTCGTGTGTGGACAGTGACGTAAGGACAGCTCACTCCTCCGATCTAATGGCTCAGTACTGCTCAGCTGTGTCTACATCCCTCACCTCAATGGGGTGTGACTCTTGTAGCGCCCCCTACTGTGACGAAGGCTCTTTGCCCCAACTGTGAGTTAAACATCGCTTAAATATTCACATAATCTAAGTGACATTCACCTAAAAAATTCATTTATATGTGTAAAATCTTCTATATACATGGTGACAAAAAGTCTGGGAACGGCTTGATATCTTTTTAACTAAATTCGTTAGCTCATCTTGAAAATGAACGAGCATTTGACATAAAACCACATTAGGACAGGACGACGTATGTCGGGCCAGCTAGTGCCTTATAAAAAAAACTTGTGAAGAAGTATTTACCAGTCACTTGCCACTTAAAATTCTACTATTTCCAAAAAAATTAAACAATACAAGCCTACAAAAATAAGAAATGAATGAATTAACATAAATATATTTTCAATCGGGTAAGAACCAAGCCAATAATGACGGAGATCCTGAACCCGTCTATTAGCGTGCGGCGGACAGATAAAGCGCACCCTTAAAAACATGGCATTTAAAAAAATTTTGATATCAAGGTAAAATAGAAATAGAACGATACTTTTGAATTTCTGTGTCATCTTCCTTTTTCAAGAATAGTACTGTACAACTTTTGAAATTTTGAGTTGCTTTGGAAAATTTCCTGAAATGAACAAAGTGTTGACTAAATTAATTAAAGGCTTGATGAGTGGATCCCTAACAAATTGTGTTACAGTACTTTTGACAGGTACCCCATCATAGCCACTAGACCACTTATTTTTGAGTTAATCAAATATGGAGAGTGGCGGTCCCAGGATTTCATTTAGGTGGGGGGAGGGGTGACAACCGGGGGCTCTGGGGGTATGGAATATCCCCCAGAAAAAATGTGGAATTTAAAGCCTAAAAACGTATTTTTATACGTATTTGAGTTCTAAAATATGCTTAAGCTAATAGTATTTATGTAAGCTAATAAAATATAAAATATTTTGGGGGATGGGGGGGATGGCAATTATCTCTTTTTCTTCCATTGGCTGACATCTAAAATTTGGAATATGATTATCAAAATCATTATCATTACCATGACAACCACCCTGTGCCGGTTATTAATAGTATAGGGTAGGGACAGTGTAGTGTAGTGTAGGGATATGGTATCTGTAATAAGATTGTAATAATTTGTTGAGTAGAAACATGGAGGAAAATATAAATCTGTCCTAAAATGTAGCTTGAGTAGTGTTTGTATATTACTTACTTAAAAGTCTTTGTTTAAAATAATTTGTTTAACATATGTTGTCAATAATAATTAAGCAATGATATTGATTGTAAACAGTTATAGAATAAAGAGAAACAACTTGAATGTTAAAAAATACTTTTTACTTTTTATCAAATTAAACATGGCGCAGTCGGTAAAGATTTGATTAAGAATTATATCAGAAGAATATACACAGAAATGGAATTTAACAAACCGGATATCCTAAGCCTTGAAGGCAACTTGGAGGAAAATTTTAGGACATTTAAAGAAGAAGTGGAGATATATTTTATAGCCACTGAAACCGAAAAGAAACCTAACTCTATACAAGCAGCAAGGCTTAAAAACCTACTAGGAAAAGAAGCATTGAAAATTTATAAAGATTTCAAACAAGATGAACCAGAAACAGTAAAAACGATATTAGAGACACTAGAGAAGTATTGCACGCCAAGGAGGAATGAAATCATGGATATTTATAAGTTTGTCAAAAGAAAGCAGCAACAAGATGAACCATTTAATAAATTCTATTCGGACCTAAAAAATTTAGTCAAACCATGTAAATTTGAAGAACAAGAGGAAAAACTGTTGAGAGCTCAGATAATACTGGGATTAAGTTCAAAAAATGTCCAAGAAAAACTTTTGAGAGAAGATCTAAAATTGGAAAAGGTAATAGAAACCTGCAAAACGATGGAGTTAACTGAACAAAATATGAATGAAATCAATGAGAAGAAAGAAGTACCGGTACTTCAAATTACAAATATTCATGATGAGAAGAAAGAAGTTCATCAAGTAACTAAAACCTTTGCTGGGACACGTAAGTTGGAGGAGGACCAAACAGGTAAAAGATGTTTTAAATGTTACAGATGTGGTGGTAGTCATGGAAAACAACAATGTCCAGCTTGGGGTAAAATCTGTAGTAAATGCAAAAAGTCAAATCATTTTGCAAGTATGTGTAGGACAAACTTAAATATTCTTTCTAATGAGAAATGTAACGAAGTAACTGATCAAAGTAGTAGTTCTTTTGTGCATAATTGCCAAGGCTATGAGATTAACACAGTTTGTGTAGTTGATTCCATTGGGAATCAAGAAAAAGCTTGGTATAAAAGTGTTAAAGTTGAAGGGTTCAATGTAAGAATGAAACTTGATACTGGGTCTGAAGTAGACATTGTCCCATATTCCTTTGTAAAACTAAATAAACTACAAAATAGGATGAAGAAAAACCTAAACAAACTAATTTCATTCGGGGGGTTTCAAATAAATCCAGTAGGATACATAGATGCACAGATTGAGACAGAAAATAAAATGGATGTTGTAAAGTTAGTAGTGGTCAGTGGAGAATGTACTCCAATCCTAGGGCTGAAATCTTGTCTAAGTTTAAATTTAATAAAGAAGGTAGATACTGTTGCTAATGGTTTATCAGTAAAAGAAGATGAAGAAAAATTAAAAATTTATAACAATTATAAAGATGTTTTTGATGGTGTGGGTTGTTTCCCTGACATTTGTAAGATAAAATTAAAGGAAGATGCAGTACCACAAGTAAGTTCTGCTAGAAGAATACCATACAAAATTAAAGATAAATTTGAAAAGGCATTAAATTCGCTGGTTGACAATGAAATTATTAAGCAAGTTGAAGAGCCGGTTGAATGGGTCAATAATATTGTAGTACTAGAAAAGCCAAATGGATCTTTAAGAATCTGTATTGATCCTACACAACTTAATAAATATATCATAAGAGAGAGGTATGCAATTCCTTTGCTAGAGGACTTGGCTCCAAACTTAAGTAATAAGAAATACTTTACAATTTTAGATTTGAAAGACGGGTTTTATCATATAAAACTAGATGAAGAATCCAGTAAAATGTGTTCATTCAGCACAATCTTTGGAACTTACAGATTTTTGAGGGCACCTTTTGGCCTCTCTTGTGTACCTGAAATATTTCAAAGATTGGTACACAAATATTTCAAAGATATTAAAGGTCTTTCAATCTATTTTGATGATTTGTGCATTGCTACTGATACTAAAGAGGAAAATGATAAAATTATAAAGCAGGTAATGGAAAGAGCAAAACAGTATAATATTAGATTTAACTATAGTAAAATGCAATACTGTGTTAATAAGGTAAAGTATATTGGTGCTATATTCAGTGAACAAGGGATGCAACCGGATCCTTCAAAAGTTGAAGCAATAAAGAATTTTAAAACTTCTACATCTAAGGTAGAATTACAAAGATTTTTAGGTATGGTAAATTACATCAGAAATTTCGTCCCTAATTTGGCTTCAATAGCATCACCTCTTAGAGATTTACTAAAAAAGAATGTTCCTTGGCAATGGTATGAACATCATTCTAATGCTCTTAAAAAAATCAAACAATCACTCTGTAGTAATCAGGTCTTAGGGAATTTTGATCCATCTCTTCCTATTGAAATACAATGTGATGCTTCACAGGATTCTGTAGGGTGTTGTTGCATGCAAAATGGCAGGCCTGTTAGTTACTTTTCTAGAAGTCTGACCACAGCAGAAGTTAATTATGCTCAAATTGAAAAAGAATTATTAGCTATTTGTTTTTCGTGCAAGAAATACCACAACTATATATATGGAAATGAAAATGTAACAATTTTTACTGACCATTTACCTCTGTTGTCAATTTTTAATAAGCCATTGTTTAAAATTGTCAATAACAGAATAAGAAGGCTCAGACTTAAATTGATGATATACAGTTTTAAACTAAAATATTTGCCAGGAAAAAACATGCATATTGCAGATTTTTTATCTCGGAATGGTATTAAAGATGAGGTTGAATGGCATGAACCCTTAGATGGTATTGTGCACTGTATTGAATCTTCTGAAGTGAAGTTTAGTGATAGAAGACTTGAGGAATTTAAAGAGGAAACAAGAAATGATGATGTTTTAAACAAAGTTATACAATTTTGTAAAACCCAATGGCCAAAATCTGTTAATGATGGTGATCTAAAGACTTATTTCAATATGAGAAATGATGTAACTCATCAAGATGGATTACTCTATTTGAATGACAAACTTATAATACCAAGTAAACTGAGGAAATTTATGCTGTCACACCTGCATGAGACTCATCTGGGAACAACTAAAATATTGAAAACTGCCAATTTATTTTTTTACTGGCCAGGAATGTCATCAGACATAAGAAATACAGTATCTCAATGTTCTATATGTATGAAACACCAACGTTCAAAATTGAATGAACCTTTAAAAGTTCACAGTGTTCCTCAAATACCCTTCATCAAGATTGGAGCTGATATTGCTGAATATGCAGGTAAATACTATCTTGTAACTGTTGACTTTTATTCACGTTGGATTGATGTATTTAAGTTGAACAGTAAAAACAGTAATACAATAATTGGTAAATTCAAAGAGCTATTTAGTCGAAATGGGATCCCTATGTATTTGGTGGCTGATAATCAACCATTTAATAGCTATGAAATGAAACAGTTTTCTATAAATTGGAATTTTACAATAATCACATCAAGTCCTCACTATCCAAAAAGTAATGGACTAGCAGAAAAGGCTGTAGGAATTGTAAAGAAAATGTTACAGAAGAGTGCTGAAAGTAAACAGGATTTTGAACTCTTCTTATTAAATTATACAGGGTGAGTTTTAATTGTCCCCCCCCCCAACTTTTTTCTACATTTTTTCAAATATCAATTCCAAACCACTTCCAAACATTATTGGGTAGTAAGTACTTCATTTTGACAAGGTAGTCATTTCCGGCCGCCATCTTGGATCCGCCATATTGGATGCAAAATTTTTTTTTCAAATGTAAAGGTGGAGTTGTGACCCATTATTTCGAACTACATTTTTACCCTGATTACAATGCCGCAAACCGTTTTTAAAAATCTTGATTCATTCTAAAGTTATGAGGGCTTTTTAAAACATTATTTTTAGCCCATTTTAACATTATGCATTTACAAACTAAGACCATAATCTCAAAATAGTGCTAGATAAAGATAAGTATACACTACCAGTAAGTGTCGACCTATTTTCACTTGGTTATGACTGATGTGTTTTTTTCGGCCGCCATCTTGGATCCGCCATTTTGAAATGTGATAAATTATTTTAAATATGAAGGGGGTATTGTGACCCATCATTTCGAACTACTTTTTTAATCTAAACTTAATTCCGTGATTCGTTTTTCATTTTCATTTTTTGATTTTGAAATATTGACATTTTTAACAAAAAAAATGCAATATTTCATAAATAAAACTTGATAACAAAAAATAGATTGCGGCATTGAGTTTAGCTTAAAAAAGTAGTTCAAAATGATGGGTCACAACACCCCCTTCATATTTAAAATAATTTATCACATTTCAAAATGGTGGATCCAAGATGGCGGCCGAAAAAAATACATCAGTCATAACCAAGTGAAAATAGGTCGACAATTACTGGTAGTGTATACTTATCTTTATCTAGCACTATTTTGAGATTATGGTCTTAGTTTGTAAATGCATAATGTTAAAAATGGGCTAAAAATAAAGTTTTAAAAAGCCCTCATAACTTTAGAATGAATCAAGATTTCTAAAAACGGTTTGCGGCATTGTAATCAGGGTAAAAATTTAGTTCGAAATAATGGGTCACAACCCCACCTTTACATTTGAAAAAAAAATTTTGCATCCAATATGGCGGATCCAAGATGGCGGCCGGAAATGACTACCTTGTCAAAATGAAGTACTTACTACCCAACAATGTTTGGAAGTTGTCTGGGATTGATATTTAAAAAAATATAGAAAAAAGTTGGGGGGGGGGGACAATTAAAACTCACCCTGTAGAAACTCACCTGTTGCAAACCTGGACTATTCACCTTCTCAGCTTTTAAACAGCAGACACATAAGATCAAAACTACCTATACCAAACAGTTATTTACAGCCTAAAACAGTTTCTTTTGAGGTACATGAAAGCATAAATGAAAGCAAAAGGTATCAAGAACAAATGTATAACAGATCAGCCTTGAAAAAAGAAGATGAATTCCAAGTTGGAGAAGAGGTTTTAGTACAGGATATTAAAACCAAATTTTGGAATCCTGGTGTGATTTTTAAAAAATTACCGGAACCTCGTTCTTATTTGGTAAAATTAGAAAGTAATGTTGTTTTAAGAAGAAACACACACCATATAAGAAAAATTAAATCTATGTTAAAAAAGAAGGACAGTCAAGACGGCTAAAAAAGGGAGATGTTTGTATATTACTTACTTAAAAGTCTTTGTTTAAAATAATTTGTTTAACATATGTTGTCAATAATAATTAAGCAATGATATTGATTGTAAACAGTTATAGAATAAAGAGAAACAACTTGAATGTTAAAAAATACTTTTTACTTTTTATCAAATTAAACAAGTAGAAGCTTTGACTACTGATGCAACTGAACTAGACATTCCATTCCTATGTTAAATCTTTCGCTAGATTTTTAATCTGAATTCTTGTAGTTCATGTGAGCCATCCGGCAGATTATGCTGATCTAAATTACTAATTTCTGTAGAATACACAAACATTTTCACCAATTTTAACTAGGTAATGGAATTACTTATTGTGAGCTATAGCAAATGCTATATGACCCATCAACTTGGGCAGCAACAAAAAATAAGGTAGAAATTAGAATTTTAGACACTAGGACATTTTGTGCCCAGCTCTCAAAACTATGTTCTTTTTTAATAAAAATCGTCATCATTTTGTACATATTGATGGGATGTCTCCTTCAGTATCCAATTATAATAGTAAATGGTAAAAGTAAGTAAAATTTGGAATTTCCTCAAAAGTTTTCTTTGAAAATCAGTTATTATTGCAGAGAGTATTGTTTTTGTCAAACTTCTCGAGTTTGAGTTTTGTGTGGAAATTTTTTTAAATCCCCCCTGAACCCAAAAAAGTTGTTTTTGAAGTAAATTAGAACCTCTATCAACCGTCACCCTCGGGACCAGGAATGTTAAGCGAATGGAGGGATAACAGAAATTATGGCATTGGCATTAACCTGTACGTAGGTTGATTTAAAAGGTTTTGAACCTTGTACAAAAGAATTACTAATACAGAACTGTTATTTTTATGTTGTACTTGTTCAATGTTCGTTCTATGAAATAAAATCACATTTAAATAATCTAAGTACTGTAACAGTGTGACGGATAACAGAGAGGGATGGTTAAAAGGGTGACTTTTAATCGGGGTTCTACTAATGTCTGTGTAGATGTGTATAGAGCTACAAACCACACATGTGGTCCGACTGGTGTGTTGGTAATAATTCATGGTAACTTTTCTCAAGGCATTTTATATTTTATTTTGTGGAAATTTTTATTTTTGATGGTGATTTTCCTATGAATCTTAACCGGCAAGAAATAGAATGTAAAAAAATGTCAGATAGCTGATAACGTTTATTTTCTATGTTGCAGTATCCAGCAGGAGGTTGAGCGCCACAGCCTGTATGGTCTAGGAGTTGCACTAGACATGATCCCCATCTCTACGTGTGACTCGGCGCTGGCTCCGGACTTGTATGAGGCGGAGGGAGAGGAGCACGAGTCTGTCACTCCGTTCTGCTCCCAATACAACCCAGAGTGCCAACGCCGCATGACTCAACTTGTCAAGGAACTCGTCGATCTGGGTTACTTATAAATAAGTTTGTGTACAATTAGCTTTTAGATATTTTTATTTGAAATACACTTTTCATAACGTGTTCTTTGCCTTATCCCAAGTTTCTGTTTACAAAACTATAGTCCTCGCCACCCTAACTTGAAGCAGCCCAGCCCAAGGCCGCACTAGATATACGGCGTGCGGCCTTGGGCTGTCTCAAGTTAGGGTGGCGAGGACTATAACCTCTACCATTATCAGTAATCTGTTAGAGTAAGGATATAGATTATGAATAATCCAAAAAGAAAATTGCCCATTTTATTAAGATATACGAGCTTGAAGGATTCCAACAATTAAACAGTAAAAATTTTAGTCTAATCCATGCACTTGATAGTCAAATACCGCAAGTTATCCCATTATACTGTACAACCCAGATTTGTCATGTGAGTGTGACTTCACAAGAAACATTATTTGAAAAGGCAGTATACCTGACAAGGACTACCATCGCAGTCCCATTTCTGTTGTCTGTACATAATATTGTGACTTTCGGTACAACTACTATGTTTTACGTATTTTGAGAACTGTTTGCCCGACCTACGTACGGGAATCGAGAAGTCAATTAAAACTGAATATAACTCAAAACAGCTATTTAAAACATGCATAAAGACAAATTCTGGAATTTTTAATGGGGAAAATAATCTTGTAAACCAATGTCACATGACCCCCTATTTCTTTGATAAAAAGGTTAAATACCTGTAGTACTGTCAGTGATCCTGGAATATAGGTCAGCGACCCAGGTTTCGAACCTAAAGGTTCATTTTCAAGCAGGTACCATAGTTAAAATACATAATCCTCTTCATAACTATTTCTTTGATAATGTCTTTCATTACTTGGTCTTTCCACTTCCTTCAGTCTTCCAAGAGGTCGCCTACCTTGTGGTACTCCTTGAAATACACTGCTTTTAAAAGTTTATGTATCTTCTCCCCAGCAAGCATAGCCTGCCCATCGGAGGCTTTTACTTTTGGAAAGCACCCCTATACAGTATCTGGATGTTTTAGCTCACTGTTCTTTCGTATCCCAAACTCCATTATCTTGAACTTCCTATTTGACACCCTTTAGCTTATTGGAGAGTTTTCTTGATACATACTACACCGGTTGAAATTTTAATTACTAACAAATTTTGGTATGCCGACATACACACATTTGAAGGTCAAGAAAAAGAAGAGACAACAACAACACGTGAACTATATCAAAAACGATTAAGCGACAGTTTTCTGAAAAAACCTACCTATTGGCTTGCTCAGCTGAATAATTAGGTTTAACAACCTAAACTTAGCTGTTTAGGTTTGCTGTTTCAGGGAAGGTAAAATAGTGGGTTTTTTAATAAAATGTCAATTTTCCAAGTTTTATATGAATATCCATAAACAAGCAAACTACAACCGTTCTCCATAAGAAAAAACTTTACTTATTCTCCTCTTATGGTAATTTTTTTTCTTTTTGTCGACGCCAGTAGCATTTCTGTCGTAGAGTCAATGCACAGTCTACATCAAATAATGCTTTAAGGGAAAGCGGTCCAAACCCATTATGTTTTGTGGATTTTTTAATTTTCTCCGTAACCATTAGAGGTACAAAACATTGTTTGGTGTTTTAGCTCTACAAGATGGTTTCGAGAGAAATTGGGAAATTATAAATTTTTATAGTCGAAAATAAGAAAAAAACTACTTATACATTGAGAATGGAATGAGAATTTTTACCCCCATAAAATCCCGTCCCCATAGTCAGATCATCCTGGTCTGCAAATGTCTGTAGCGTCAGCTGATGTTGACATAGCAACGCATTATGATTATTCTGGTTACTGTTTTTCTAGAGTTTGTACAAATTTAACTCTTCTATAAAAATACTTTTCTCTCTTACTTATTTGGTCGTAATTTATTTAAATACACAAACAACCATGACCAAAATGGTGACCCCGACTACAACCGTTATTTAAAGACTATTTTCTTTGAAGAGTTTAAACCTTTTGTATTTCCTCTAACAACGAACGATGTCATTAGAAGACCTGCAGACTCAACTCGCCGAACTTAGAACTGCGAATGAAGAACTGCGTCAATGAATTGGACAACCCAACACTTCTCAAAACATGTCGGTCAACAGAGTAGCCATCAAACTTATTCTGCCCTTTTGGCCTGAAAGACCAAGTCTGTGGTTCTGTCAAGTTGACTTGCAATTTCTTATATCTGGAATTACCAAGGACGATACCAAATTTCACTACGTGGTCTCGCAATTGGACACAGGAATTGCTGCTGAAGTCAAAGACATCTAGAGTGAAAATTTAAAAACGTACGTTTTCATGTCCCTGGCCTTTTACTTCGTAGATACTGGATTTGTAGTTTATTATTATGTGTTTTAATATATTTTGGGACGGGGGCAACATGTTACACACATTTATTTGGTTTTAAATAGGTTCTAGGTATTTTTTTCGTATTTTTAAAGTCTCGAAATTCACGACCATGACGTGTCCCTAGGGTACATTTTCCAACTTTCACACTGTTTTTAGACTAATTATTCATGCCGAAATATATAAAGCCATATTTTTATGTCATCAATAGTTATTAAACTTACAAAAAAGGAGCATATTATAATTTTATTGTCATTGCAAACTGACTACCATGACAAAATAAGTCTGTCCCTCGATTTGGCGTCACAACCATTTGGGAAAAATTTGCAACTTTGGAGCACTACAGTGGCAAGCCTGGCGTCGATTACGTCAGTTCGTTTTAGAGACTAGTTCGGTGTGTATGTCAAGTTTGTTGTGCCGGTCGTTTTGTGTTGAAAAAAGTAGTTACAAGATTAATAGAGGTAAGTTTGTGTTTTTTGTAACTTTGGTGTGTCCATGACAGTAAGTAGTCATTTGATGAAGTAGACGTGGTTTTAATTTTTGTTGATATGATATTGCAATTGCTACATTAACCTAGAAGACCACTTTGTATCCTCGAACATGAGGTGCAGGGCTACCGCCAGAACCGAGCCAAATAACACATAATGTCACGACCAAAGTTTCACGACCATCGCGGGTTTTTTCACGACCAATCCAGCCTTATGGATTATACTGTGTTTGGTCGTGACAATAACTTAAATATCATTGTGAATTGAACAGTTTAATTCAATTGAAACACATATTTTTATTAACAGTATAATTGAAGGATTGTTTAGAAATATTTAGATTATTCCAGACAATTCACGACCGTACCGCTTGTCCCTGACCATCACGTTGATGATTTCTATCATAAAAATTAAAAAAATTAAAATATCATCATACTTCAATGTTTTATACACAAAAGAAGCACACCTCTATAAAAAAAATAACAATTTTTTGGGTCTCATGTAAGTTTTTTCGGAGTTATACAAACTTAAAAGATTTTATTGGCTTTTTATCAATTTTTTTTAGTTTTTTATATTTGTTTCTAGAAAGACCAAATATACCAAAAGCTTAGTGAGCTGTTTATTGTATAATGGCCATAAAAGTAAACTAATTTATAGCAAAACATAGTTATAAAAATAATATTAACTATTTTTAATATTCAGTTTTATGTCCGTGATGGTCGTGACAAAATTTCGTGTTTTTCCATCAAAGATGCTCTATCTATAAAAAATCACCAAAGACATTGCGTTACAATGGATATTTTATGAAACGTCAAATGTCAATGAAATAAAAAAAATAAAAATGTTTCAAAAAACAGAACAAAAAATTTTAAAAGTGATTTTCCTGAAAACGTACGTTTTTAAATTTTTACTCCATAACAAACCCTCCCCAAGGCGACAAATACGGACATCTAAAGAAGAAACTGATTGAACTCCTCTCTGCATCCGAAGAGCAACGTGTGCGGCGGTTGCTGAGTGAAGAGGGCCTTGGAGACCGCAAGCCAATGATCTTTTTCATAAAATTTGTATATGTTATGTCATATAGGTAAACAATAATGGTGTAAACGTTCAAACCATTAGTTTAATCTATTAACAGCCTTGATGTAATACTTACTAAGCAATACCCATTTTTTAGAAGAAAACATTATTTACTAAGTACTTTTTATTAGCCTATTTAATTTGTTTCAGAGAATTTGTTATCATATTTACTGCATCTATATTTATCTATCTATCTATATATTAATAGGCAAGCATGTTTCTTTAAAACCTTTTTTCTCAGCTCGTGTGCATCACAGGAAAAATCTACGCATACCGTTCGAAAGATATTTTTCTGTAGGTGTGCAGAATCCCTTTAAAAATTAAAATAGGCTCAGAAATAAGCACAAAAAATGAATTTGAAATTTGAATAAAATTAACATGGGCTTTATGGGTTGTCATGCTGGTGACGAAATAACAACGAAATATAAACAGAAAATCAAAACAAATAGATGAATTGCCAATCACATGTTTTATTTACAGTGTGGGTTGAAATATGAGTACAGTATTCAATGAACATTATTAAAATTTACTTCATATATATATATAAATAAACATGGTTGACAATTATTATGAGGCAAACATGTTCTTTAATAATTGTTTTGCTCTTTCGCTTTCGACTTACGATTATTCATAGCTATATTACAAGTGCATACTGTAAAATGTGTACTGTATGAAATGCACTGCAAACCACGTTTGTGTGTGTACATTAATAATATCAGCTGTAAAACAATCATCAGCTAAAATATAAAATCAAAATAATAACATAAACATTTAGTTTTCAGTGGTGGTGAATCCGATTTTGCACTGATTGTGTATTGTGTGTGATATGATCGTTTATTATATACTTGCTTTCTGTTTATGGAAATGTCAATCATTTTACTGTGTTTTTTAATTATAAACTTAAGTGACTTTCAATTATCAAATTCTGAAATGCCTCTACGGCGAACATTAACTGGCCGGGTAGAAAGAAGGAACCGTAACCGTCTTTATAATACGAGAGGCAATCAACAAGATGTACCGAATTTGACAGACAGTTTTAAATGTGCCCTAAGAGAAGTGCCTCGGGAGTTCTGTGGCTCAGACATTGGATTTATGAACCTAGAATGCAGATTTTGCCATGCGAAACACTTCCAGTCTGAA